GCTTTTAGTGCTTTTGCAGGTAAGCTGGCTTTGTCTAAGCCTCATCCATGTTGTTTTACCTATTGCATCTCTGTAATTTAAACGTAGTGCCAACTCTATAACATGGTAAGCAACCTGGCTTTGCCACAAAGATCTCACTCCTATCAAATTCCTATACGTTAGAGCTCTATCTACTGTTGTCATTGCTAGGTTTGCTTTGCTTTTAATAAGCATAAGCATGGGTCATTGTATTCTTTAGCAGATGCTTTGTGATAGTAGACAGCATTGGAGGTGGTATTCTAATCTTGGTATAAGAACTTTGTTGTTTATGTATGTGAGTTGACCTAGTATCATCTTCTTTCTTCTAATAGCTTTTGTGACTTGTAGGACTTCTTTTACTGCTATTTTGATATTACATTCTTTTTCATACTTCTCTGAGAACCATATACCAAGGTATCTTGCTATTTCTGTATTTTCTTTGGCTTTTATTTTAACCCCTGCAATTTTTACTTGCGGTGTTTCCTCTGGTGTCATTATTTTCTTTTTCTTTCTGAATACGATGAGCTCAGATTTGTTATCGTTAATTTTAATATTATTGATATTAAAGAATTTTTCTGCTATTCTGAGAATCTCTTCCATTTTTTCTTTAGATTTGGCCAGCTATAGTATTATTTGCATATGTAATAGTTGCTTGTCTTCACATAATTTCTTTAAATTTTAACTCTAGAATATCTGTTGGCCAGCTTATTTTTATTTCGTACCCTAGGTTCTTGGTTTCTTGTATAGCCACAAGCAAGGGTTATAGAATATTCTCCAGACCAAGGAAGATATTACTTCTCCTTGGTTGATTCTGTCTAGAGCCTAGAATCTTTCTGTATTACCTACACTGGTAATTACCTTAATTTCTCTTTTCTCGAATAGTTGTGTTATAAAATTTGTAATTACTTCTGGGATTTTGAGCCTTTTTAGTGCAAGTTTTAGCATTTCTATGCTTATAGAGTCAAATGCTTTTCAGATGTCTTGAAAGACCACCCATAGTGTATTATTCTTTTCTTTTGCATCTTCAATTATGTTATTCATTATGTGTATCAGCGTGGCTGTTTCCTCTCCTGGGAGGCCTGCGAAGTTGTACCCTCTCAGGATATTTCTTTCTTTGAGTATGTTGCTAAGCCTTATTGTAAGGACCCAGACTGTACATTTTCTAAAGACCTCGATGAGCACAATTGGTCTGATATTATTCAGATTATAATTCCATTTCTCACTTTTTGGGATAGGGTATAGCATTTCTGCTTTTTACTTTTGAGAATTCTGCCTTTTTTGATGCTGCAGAAACTATAGCAAAGAAAACTGGAGATTTATACTGAAGCCAATTGCAAGGTATGTAGTAGTGGAGCTGAAGAAACACTAGACTATATATGGGTATGTAAAGTACAAGAACTCAACTGGCAGAACATAAAAGCAGTAGTGACAGAGATAGTGTGGAACAAATTACCTGAAGAGGCAAAAGATGACTTAAGTCTAGACAGTTTTAGAAAAATACTAATTGGACTTAGCAAAGAGAAAAAGACATGAGCTAAAAAAGGTTTAGTAAAAGGGCTATGTAGAAAAGAAATGTACAAGAATTTAGAAGATGTGGTGAAGTCGAAGAAGATAGTAGATGAGTATTTAAAAAACATTTTTTACATTTTTAAAAATAGGTATTTTGATTTTATATAGAAAGAAAGATGCTACAAGATAAACTGATAGAAAAGACAAGAAGGTATTACAGCAAAGCAGAAGAGACAAGAGACAAGACCAGCCAATGCACCTAAAGAAAGAGAAAGTGCAAACCTCTTAGTAAGAGCAAGAAAATGTGTTTCTAAAGAAAAAAAGAAGAAAAGATTAAAGAAAATTTAGCAGAGAGCAAAAGAGGTCAAAAAGAGGTAGAATGATGCAATTGAGAAGATTATAAATAATGGTTCGAAGCCATTTTGGTTTGGCTCTTGATGAGGCTGACAATGTCTTCTGTGCTATGTGTAGAGCAGTACAACAGATTACATCTAGGTACTTGAGAAGCAACTGGATGATGCCGGACCTAATTATTTTAGTTTAGATAAATAACATGTATAATAACATATATAATTTTAATTATCTAGCAATAAAGGTACTGACAAGACTGTCAAAGAGTTAAAAAAAAAAATTCTTTGACCAGACCGGTCAAATTGGTCCGGTCCAATGGTCAAACTGGTCTGGTCAAGCCAATACTAAATATATAGTATAAATTAATTAAAAATAACTATGTAGATTTTATAAATAAAAATTAAAATTTCTAGCTATCCAGTAATTTAATTTAAATAAACTTTTTATTTTATTTTATAGAGCTTAGTGAGTTCTACAATATAAAAAAAAAAAGTTATTTGAATTGAATTGGTAGAAATTTTGATTTTTAATCATAAAATTTACATAGTCCTGTAAGGTCATTTTATAATTATATATCTAGATAATATATAATATTAAATGTCTAGAATCTTAGTAACTAATTATTCTGTAGTTAGTAGCCAAACAATTTTTTTACCTTTTGACAGGCCAACTAGCTAGCGGCCAATAGTCAATAGCCAAACCTTAGCCAAAGTGTTCTAATTTACATGATTATAGTCAATCACATCACTAAATTTGCTATATGGATATTTGGCATTTTGACCAAATAACTTTTTTTAAAAAAACTGCTGGCCACGGCCATCGGCCTCAGCCAATAACCGGCCAAATACTGTATATATCCAAGTGATAATATTGCATGTAATTAACCAATCAGCATCACGAAAGTAAAAAGACAAACACTGTTATAAAAACTAGTGTCCTCATTTCGCTCCAAACAATTTGTAAAGAAAATCAAATATTAGTTAATTTAAATATACTCAAAATTATAGCTACAGTGTTTGTTATTTTATAAAAAATTTACTATACTAATTAAACGCATATTATATTAAGAATTTCGACGTTCTGGTCTGCAAAAATTTTGAAAATTATAATTTACAAACATTATAAAAGTAAAAAATACGATTATTTTTTTGAATTTAAAACAATAATATTAGAAGCTAAAGATTATGAAAAAAATGAAGGGAAACGTGCTTTTTAAAATAACAAGAACATGATTCGAGGGAAATAACGTTAAAAAATAGTGTTTTCGTTATTAAATTTATAATTTTATTATTGTTATCATTGGAATTTTTTAATTGGTGCAAATTATTTGAATTAATGCGCCACAAACCTGGCACACATTCAAGAATTGCTACACATTTATTGTGGCATCGAAATTAAAATCAACTTGATATTAAATTAACGATTATCAAATTTAGACTTAGGTTGCTTTTAAATTTCGTATCAACTTGAGTTACATTTTGAATTCCGCTCCAACCTAAATAGATTCTAAATCCACAATAATTCTATTTCGACGTACGACATATATACTGTATATTATCGAATTATAGTAATTCATTAAATTACAACCTATTTTTTTGTTGTCCCCCAGTTTTAGCGTGATCACATCGTTCTATCTAGCTGCATAAAATTTTGTGCAGTTTTATTGATAAATATAACTTTTGCCACGTTATTTATGCTTGTTTTTTTTTTTAAATTGAATTTTTTTTAGTATATTGTAAATTATTATCAGGTGACTCCGATCCGTAGTGGATTTTACTGTATATTATATATATACAGTATATATGCGTGTTTAATACAGTATCTGATATATAATTAAGACACATAACAGTTAAATAAACAGAATATAGATTTTGTTATTCTTTATTTTGTTAATAAATTAAAGTTTATTTATTAAATTTTAAGAAAAAAAATGAAGGCCGAAATTTTAGATGTCACGTGCTTAACTTGATAATTCGTACTTTTTCTTTTTTACAACTTCAATAATGGTAAATATGTGATATTCGAAAATTTGAACTTCACCTTTGTTTTGTTAAGAAGCTAATACAATATTCAGAAACAGTTATAAATTTAAAATAGTAGCATTAATTTTATAACAGATGATTAATTGCAGAATTAGATTGATTATTCAAGTTGTTTCGTAAAATAATGTACCAATAATATTATAGTAAATCTATGTACCCCGGTATCTTAGTTATGTAAGTTAAATGCGATCGATTAAAATTACCCGGCTGACATTAATAGATTATCTCCGTATATAACGATAACGCACAGATATTTTAATATTTGTAAATTAAAATCAAGTATTTTCTTGCATTGGCCAAATTAGTTAAAAAATAGCGATAGTTGTACTCACGCTTAGCAGAAGGTACATTGCTAATTTAGGAAGCGATTTTATTCAAATGGATCTCAGAACCAGGTATCTCCTGCTTAAGCAATGCGCTAAATTAGGGGTGTTCATTATTTATGCTTGTATGCTTTGTCATGCTTGAATAGCATTTTAAAGTACTAAAGCATATAATTTAATGCTCGACTACCTTGATAACATTTAATAATAGTTTTTAAAGGCATATATACAGGAATAAAAAAGAAAAAATAATAAAGATAGAAAATGTTATTTTTATTATAGCATTATCGCACATCGTAAATCCTTAATTTTCACGTGCTTCAAAGTAATAAATTGTAATTGTAATTTTTAATGTGATTATTAAATAATAATAGTTACCATATATTTACATATTTAGATTATAATTAAATATATTAAATACACTTAAATACAATTCAATTAATTCAAATGAAACAGGTTATTCCAAATATATATATTGTGATAAGATTGCGCATTTGGCGCAGTTCATAAAAGTTTTCTTTCGTACTATGCATATGACCTTGTGATTATAAATCTTGTCACAACTTATAAACAATTAACGAATATTAAATGATATTGATCTACCAATTTTCTCTCTCTCTGACTTTATTCGGAAGAAAATTGTATTTGATTTCTTTGGCAATATCATTATATGCTCATTACCTTACTATACTTGCGTTTTTAATTGATAAATAACAAGTTACATTTTTTTCATGGTTTTTATTATAGAATTAAAAGTATGGCTTCCAAAGACGAAGAAAATATAAGTTCAACTCATCCAGTGGCTTTATCAATGCTATCAAAACGTGAAGACTTAATACCAGCTACATCATTTGAGTCTTCCGCAAACAATGATAACGATAACGAAGAAGATCAACGAATTTCTTCACAATTAAGTGGCTCTTTTTACTCTGGCATAGACTCTCTGAACATCTTATCATCACAAGAGAACGATATCTTAATGAATGCTGATCCAATCAGCGTAAAGAACAACAAAAGAACGTTCGATAGCCTTTTAGAAGAAAAATCTGGTGAATATCATGTCATATCACATGATTCTGATGCACCAGTTTCGAAAAAAATTAACTCTACGACATCTTCAGCTGTAAATCAAGCTGAGACTCAGAATATCCAATTATCATCTTTTTCATTTAAACCAGTTAAACGTAAAACTCGAAAAGTTATGTATAAAATTACGAATGAAAAGGAAATTAATTCTTCCGGTAATAAGAAGGCTCGTCATGATTCTTCCACACATGCATCACAATCAATGTCTTCACAGAAGGCAACCATTTTCGCATCTGAACGGATTCATTCTGGCCCATCTAAGACAACTCGAGGGAGGAAAAAAAAATCGACGCGTGAAGCTGCTTTACCAAAAAATATAGGACCTCCATTGAACCCTGTTGGCATATTTTCAAACTTTCGAATCTTTTTTATTCCAAATAATATCGATAAAGTTCGTTTGAGATTATTGAAAGAAAAAGTAATCGAAAGAGGAGGACAAGTAGTCGATGGTGAGTTTGGTGCTTCGACTACGCACGTGATCACAGCTTTACAAGGACGAAGAATTTTAAAAATTTTAGGAATTCGTGAAAACAATGTGCCTCAGGTATTTAATGAAGTGGTTATCTTATCTTTAATAAAATCTTATCAAATTAACTTTATCAATTAATTTTAAATATAGGGTGTCATGTTTGTTGAACCAAATTGGATTTCAGAATGTTTGACGGCAAGCATTGCGATAAATTAACGCGTTTTTTTTTCGATTCTAACAATATAAAGTATTTACGAGGTTTTTGTAATATTGTCATTATTAATATTAGTATGAAAAACTCGTAGATATAAACCCATATATTGTACAGACATCAGATACTCAGCAGATAGAAAAAAATGTTCATGACAATGACGAAAATAAAAGGTGCATATAAATTTTAAAGTTTAAAAAGTTTAACATCTAAAAAATAGTATATAATTTTTAAAATCCTAATCCTATCCTGAATTTCTACCTACTTAATGTGAAAGAAACGATAATTATATAAAAAAAAAACAGAGACAAGAATCCATGTCTCCAAAAAGGCGATCCTCTTCTCCACCCTCTGTCACACCAGAAGTATCCGCGCCAACTTATGAATCACCACCAACTGTTAGTAATGTGATTTCGGGTGGTGATGATCCCTTGCTGGAAATGATTGCGGAGACCAAATGTCTTGTAGATGCGGTAAATTATAAATATACTTTATTATAACTTAATCTAACTATATATTAAAGGTTATGATTTCATAATCTTCAAAGGGTTTTCTGTTGGATGATGATGATGATGAGTCTCAAAGCGTGCAAAGTGAAATGTCTGATTCAGAAGATGAGCTTGCTGAATCGTCAACGCAGAACGAAGTGAACTTAAAAGTAAATAAAGAAGTCCTATCACAGTCGCAAGAAACTACTTTTTCTGAATTATCTCCTAAAGAAGCGAAGGTTTAGTCTCTTTTTTTTTCTAACTATATTCTTTCATTTCTTTTATTAAGATCTTTTAACTTTAAATTTGATACATTCTTTTTTTAAGACTTTCAAAGGACAATTTGTTTGTATGCATAAACATACATACGGAGAAGATGATGATAGTCCGAATAAATTGATAATCGATAAAGTCTGTGTCAAAACAAAGGCATTTAAAATATGATTAACTTTGAAGCTCACACCAAACTTCTTCATTATATAAATTACAGCTTAAGGTACTATTGGATCATTATCAACGAATGAAAGATGAGTGGAGGATTCTAAGTTACCGAAAGGCTATTTCTGCGATTAAAAGACAAAAAGAGCCAATTACCTCTTATCAAGAGGCTATAGAAATTCGTGGTATAGGGCATCGCACTGCTGAAAAGGTTTTTTCTCTTTAAATATATTTTTTCTATTATAACGATAATATTTGTATCTATAATAATAATTTTATTTTTTAATATGAACAGATTGCAGAAATTCTTGATACAGGGAATTTAAGAAGATTGCAGCATTTTTCAAAAGATGATGAAGTGATTAAAAAATTCAGCGATATTTGTGGTATGTTTCTATTGCCTAATCTGATAAAATTTTTGCTTAATAATAATCTAATTTTTAATATTATTAAATAAATAGGTGTAGGGCCATCCATTGCCATGAAATGGTATGCAAAAGGTTATAGGACTTTCGATGACATTATTCAAAATATCAAATTAACACGCCTTCAACGTATTGGAATAGAATGTTTTGACGTAAGTTATAAATTATTTTTATAAATTATGATATTCAAAGTTAAATTATAAATAAATAATTCATTTTCAAAGGACCTCCGTGAAAGAATTCCACGAGATGAAGTGACAGAAATCTCAAAACGCGTAGAAGAAGCAGCTTGTCGAATTGATCCAAAATTAATATGTATTACCGTTGGGTCTTATATAAGAGGCCAACCAACTTGCGGAGATATTGACATTTTAATAACCAGAAATAATTCAGATGGAAAAGAAAATTCGGGTAGACTTAATTTATTAAATATACAGTTAACTCTGCTCGTAACGAACCTTTTACAAACATCTAAAAAATTTTTCCTTAAATTATAAGTCATTATGTAAGATATAGTAGACCACGTAAACTACTATATATCAGATTTTTTATTATAAGAACCACCGGTTCATTATAAATAGAGTTGACTGTATTTAATATTACTAATAAATTTTGAGAATGAAAGCTGATACTATTGCTATTAAAAGGTTCCCTTTTAAAATTGCTTAACACTCTACGTGAACAAGGACTATTGACGCATGACCTCACACAGCATCAGGAAGAAAATACCACGTCAAGATATTTTGGGATTTGTAAGCTACATGGTGGAAAATATCGTCGAATAGGTAAGAAAAAAAAAAAAAAAAAAAAATCAAAACCTGTTTATGTCAATACTTTTAACTAATATCGATTTTGATATTTCTTCGAATTCTAGATCTTTTTACTGTACCATTTAATGAATTAGGTGCGGCATTATTATCTTTTACAGGAAATGATATTTTTAATCGAAGTATGAGATTGCTTGCGAGAAAAAAGGTCTATTCAAATTCAAGAATTCTTAAATTGTTTATTTTAATTATTCATAATGTTGCATAATTAAATATTTTATACAACAGAAAATGAAACTGAATAATCATGGTTTATATAAGCATATCTCTCGTGGTCGTCGTGGTGACGCTTTAAATGAAGGAACATTAATTGCGCAAAAAACCGAAAGGGAAATATTTGATGCTTTGGGGGTTCCATGGCGGTAATTATATACATACATACATATATAAATACAAATATATTTTTATACTTTTACTCCAGCAGTTACAATAATTTACTTTTTTTTTTTAATGTAATTTTTTAGTCCGCCAACCGAAAGAAATTGTTAAAAGCATTATCACGTCAAATCTACTAACATGCTCTACTCTCTAATTTCGTAATAACAGGCATTACAGTATTGTATTTTTATATTACATCTGATCATTTACTTTTTAGCTGTATTTGATAATATAATACCGGATTTCCTTCTAAAATAGAATAAATAACAATGTGAGAATTAGATTGAAAAGTGTACAAAATATTTCAAGTATGGTTCAAGATAGCAAAAAATATAATCAGTATTTCACTCTGATACTATCATCTTCATATATATCGTGACCAGTATTGTTGTATTGTTATAAAATTGCCAAACAAATAAATGCTTGTCTTTGAAGAAATCTTGTCAAAATATCCCAATTTTTTAAAACCAGTGTTTATTTTTCAACATATGTTTGAATATTACTTTTAAGAAATAATTTGTCAATAATTTTTAAATGTCTCTTAATAATGAATATCATATATATATATGCATATATTAAAATCTCTGAAAAGGTATATTTTATTCTAATATCATTGGGTCTTCAATAGAAAAGTCGATTTTCCGCGTGATTGATTAGTCATCAGTTAGCCAATGAAAACGTAACGATTTGGTGTAACGTAAAGAATTTAAAGCAAACCCTTGATCGAGATGGTGCTCGGTAAAATTTTTCGTGATCGATCGTATGGTTGATCATGTATATGCCGTTGATAATTTGATCGATCTTATGTAGGGTTGTTTATTGTTTATTGGTAAATTTCGAGGTTTGTTATACTTATTGTATGTTACAAAATAAGGAAATAGATCTTGACTGATATCATGATATCATTATGATGGGAGAGAGGTAGAAAGACTCTCAGGTCTAAATATATATAACCAATCAGAATTTTTTATATTCCTTAAATCTAACGCGTTTTATATTTATTTTATTAGTTTGACAATGCCATTGAGGGGATCAATGGTTTATATGATATGCGATCAAGACAGATAAAGGGTTGATCAAATCGAAGAAAATAGAAATAAGTCGATAGACAAGCTCAGAAAGATTCTACATCTTTTTATCAAAGTTTATATTCGGTTGTAAATATTATCTTATTGATTAATTAACTTGGAAAGATCCATTAGCGAGCCAAGTTATCAGTGATAAATTAACGATCGTAGAAAACTTAAAACAGAATTTGAAAAAGACATTCCAGGTATACTGTAACATATTTATTACAAAGTATGTTACTTGTAAATCTTATTTCTTTGATTTAGCTTCGCCTATTTATACTATTTATACTATAATTACTATAATTATTAGAAACCAGCCCAACAGGATAATAAGGTCATAGTCGGTTGGTGAAATAAGAATTTCTTTGTATTTATTGATCAAAATATTAAAAACTTGTATAATAAAAGAATATTGATATTTTTTAGGTTAAATAGTTGCTTTAAATAGCTATAAAAGGTATAATTATTTAGTTGTATAAAATTCTATATATTACCACTTACCGGTAAGTTTTTTTTTAAAATCTGAGATGTTCCTACAACATATCAATACATATACAGTCGACTCTGGATATAACGAACCTTTTTATAACGAACACACTATATAATGAACTTTTTTTTTCAAATTTAATATAAGTTCGGTATATAAAATATAGTAAATTACTATATAACGAACTTTTAAAAATTTTTACTATAAGACTCGTCAGTTCGTTATAAACAGTAGTATAGTAAATCGCAAATCGAATCAATTTAATATTATTCAACGCATTATAGTTATGTAAGGGCGTAGATGCATCGATTTATTATAAAATTCTTTATATATTTTTATACAGTATACGTTATTTTATATAAATATATACTTTAAAATCATGTAATTAGGTTATAATCTCGATCTTTAAGATGGGGACGGAAATATGACATGAAAACGCGTGATGATCTTTAATGTTTTATCTATTTAAAAGGAAAAAGCTCACGTAAATATCTATGTACACTGATATTTTTTTTTCACGATAGCGCAGGAGTTTATAGCCAAAAGTACTTTCTACAGCCCGCTTTTTCTCCTATAATTGTTTTTGGCAACTTCAATTAAAAGTATTATTAAGAATTAGGTTTTTATTGCTTATTGAATATATTTTATAAATATATTTCCATACGATTTACTGTACCATAGAAATGTAAAGAATATCCAAAATCTTATTCCTCTATAAAATTATTACAGGGTGTTCCCATAATTTTTTTTTTTATCCATCCACTTGGGATGATCGAGCAAAATTTTAAGCAACTTTCAAGATTAACATTGAACATGGACCGTTAAGAGATGCTTTAAGTAAAGATTATGAATTTATGAATTTGGTGCGTAAAAAAAAAGAAACATTACCAAAAATCAAAGCCTAATAATATGTAAAATTTAATTAAAATTTGGAACTAGTTATTGAAAAATGTGTTCATTCAAAAATTTTTCTCGAAACCGGAGATGTTACGATAGGAGTTTGGATTGATAATAAAGATTAGAAAATGAAACTCTGAATATCATTGTCTTCCTGGCTGAAAGATATTATCAATGCTTGGTACGAAGAATTAAATCGGCCAGATATTCAAACGTTCAATTTAATTTGTCAGAAACAACAATATTTACGCATAGTTCCATTCTCATAAAACGGTCAGAATATTTTCGAAAAATACGAAGGCGGTTGGATTGAAGATTCACAACAAAATAACGGTAACTTTGATAGTCAACGTTCAATTAAGAGTCACATAACTAAAGAACCGGGAAACGAATCACCTTCGTCAGAACTATCAAATGATAAGGTACGATTAAACGACGAAAGAGATATATCTTCCCAAAAGGGAAAAAAAGTATCAGATCGATATACCTGACATTCATCAGGAAACTTCGATTCAAACTCTTTACATAGGAGACCGATTTATATATTTATCGTAGCAGATAAATATCTTATAATTGGATTAAGACAAGTAGCAAAATCTAAAATCTTTAATGAAGATAATGCAGCTAAATTTTTATTTGGAGTAGTTTGCAATGGTCTGATTTAAATTAGATGTTATGAAATATGTTGCTAGTGAATTTCAAAGGATTAGAAAAATTAATGGATTTAAACGGATTTCGAAATTCCGCGGACTACCCAGCTGGAATGGAGATAATGAATGAATTACTTAAATTGTTGGTTCGTTCATTATGGAAGTGTGACACCATATGGAGATTCAATAGAAATGGGACAAATTTTTTTTAAATAAAAAGTTTTTTAAACTTTAAGTTAAATATCTCAACAAGATTCAAACCAAATTAAATAAAAGATTTTATTTTAATTCTAAAAATACTATTCCTGATGGATCATCGGTACTGTTCCTGATGGGATGAAAAAAAAAACAATTTACATACCGTTCCTGATAGGGTTCTTAAAGGAACCCCGAAGTTAATTCTCATGACGATGTTTAGTCATAATGCGAATACTAAGTCTCGACTAGTGGTTGATTCACAACGTCGATTTCAACTTTTCTAAATATTGGTCTTAAAAAAAATACAGTACAATATTTACGCGAAAAACTTCCATAGGCGTTATTCGGGACAAGTAATTTGAAGAGAGCTAATAATTAATTTAGCAAAAGAATTATTAACATTAAAATTATGGTTATATTCGGCTAATTAAATATTAGCTCTCTTTGAACTACATGTCTTAAATAATGACTATGGGTGTTATTTCGCGCGAATCCAGTAAGAAAATTTGGGTTGAAAAACTTCATTTCTGGTTTTTTTTTTTGAATTTTATGTTATGCGTTGATCTTATAATCTGGTTGGGCAATAGTGGACTGCCAAATTTTTATGTAATAGCTTATATTTCGATAGTAGTTTAGTTTTGGAGCCCTATCAGGAACGGTATGTAAATTTTTTTTTTTCCATCCTATCAGGAACAGTACCGACGCTCCATCAGGAATAGTATTTTTGCTTTGGTGGTTGTTGAAATATTTTGTTTAAAATTTAAAAAGTTGCTAAAAATGATTTGTTTCGTTCCTATTGACTCACTTCATATATTAGATAGTTTCAGGTCGTAAATGTGGCTTATGATACTTTCTTTATTGTTAAATTTAATTTTCAATCCTAATATCTTTAAGGTCATTTTAGTACCGTAATTTGTCATTTATTCGAATTTTTAGAGCTAACTTTTAACTTTGCTCATATGTTCACACGTTAAGGTTTTTAATAAATAGACTAACATATATTTGATTTATTACACGTATAATGTATGATTATGTATACGTAAAATGCATTGATTAGTATGCTTATACATTGTAAGCATTTAGACTAAAGCTTTTTTAAAATATTTGATGATCTACTTACCAGAGCATTAAATCGTTCCGTGAAAATTTCTAAAATGGGAGTTATCCTTTTTTTGTATCACAAATTACCAGCTTTGGATGTCAATCCTTTTCGAGCATATAATATATAAATACAGGTTGATGTTTATGATCAACAGGGAGACGTTACTTTTTGTCATTGTTTTAACGTATCATGGATATTTCGGAAGGTAATTGACGATTTAATGTTCTTTATTTTCACAATAATTTGTAACTTATTTTATATACGATAACCAAAGAATCGCATGTCCTTGAGCCTAATGGATATTTTGTGACTCCATCGAATGTCGCTACAGGGGATGGTGATCCAGAAGATACCTCAAATCCTTCTCGAATAAATTCAACCGCATCTCCAAATGAAATTATAGAATTTGTAAAGGAAGCTGTATGTACGCTACTATTAATGTCTAATTAAGGCCCCTTTTTAGCGGTTCAAACTTTTTTCAGCAGTGCGGATTATAATATGTATTTGAATTATACGTAACAATTCAATTTTTTTTTTACTAAACCAATAAAGCATCCGTATTACTATATTAGGGTAAATATAGTATATACTATGAAAAGAATATGAATCGCTGAAAGGGCCTAAATGTCTAATTAATGTCTAAATTGCTTTTTTTTTTTTTAATGCTCTCTAATTTATTATCATTATTATTTCTAGCTCATGTCTGATGATTTTGAATATGTTACTACGATATTTGATCAATTAGTATTTGGAATAAGTGATAACGTTGGCAATGAAATTGTTGCAGCGACTATTTCTGATTTATTTGAAGTAAATTTCATAATTTATTTATGTTGCGGCACCGATTTAATTTCTTTTATTCACATCTGATAATTCATCATTTTTAAGAAAATTGTATCGTTAAAACCTGAACCATCCCCACCTCTCAAAAAATTACTATTAATGCTATCTTCAAATCATCGGCCGCAGTTTTACAAACAAATGCTTGCCTGTGTTGCATCAGATTCAGAACAAAAAGTTGTTGAATATCTTCACATGATTTTTATACTTAGAAATTATATGAATGGTATAGAGTTGTTCATGCAGGATGCCGAATTATTAAGTGTTGTTATTTTAAGTGATGTTGGGCGTGACTTAGCCAAGACTGCATCAACTACAAGTAGCACTTCTAAAATTCCATGGGGCTCTACAACCCTAGGACAATGTGTTATTATTATAGAATTCATTTTTACAATACAACAAATGAGACTAAAACCTGAGGTGTGTTTTATAATAATTTTCCATATAATCTTAATAAATTTCTTTAACTATTTTATTTAAATTTGTTAGAAAAAAAAAAAAGATTATAAGGCAGAATTATATGCGAAAAATTTTTTAAATGATTTAGAGCGCCGGTTGGCGGTATTTATAGTTGCAAAAGTGAGTTTAAAAAATATAAAATGGTTATTTTAAGTTAAATTATTATGTTTAAAATTGATATTATTATTTTTTTAGGAAAAATCAAAATTGATCCCTATGCCATTGCGTGTTTTACTTTGTAAATTATTTTTTGAAATTAGGATGTATTGTAAAACAACATATAGGTAAACATGGAAATGTATAATATTCATATTAATTTAAAATCATTAAAGTTATATTATTTATTATATTTTAATAGGCCAGGTTGGTTGTCACGGATGATAGATTGGTTATCCTTCTCGACTCCTAATGCAGCAATCTATAGAGATTCTTTGATAAAGGGCATAAGCGCATACGATATATCTACTTATCTCTCAGAACTTAATATAGATTCTAATCAAATGAGTGATGTTGAACTTTTGTTTGAAAGAATAAGAAATGTATATACAACTTTAGATCAAAGAATTTCATCTAGTCTTACTGAGGTTGGTATCTCTATTATTCGCACTATAACGTAGCAATTTTGGTGTTAATTTTTTTTTTTTAAAAAAAAAGGATACTATATCAAATGTTCCAGTACCAGTAATGCCCAAATCTATTCCAATTGTTTCGTCAAATATATCGACGCCTTTATCAGAATATAGTAACATACTACAACAATATACGAGTACGCAAATGTTAAAGCCTGCCATGAATAATCAATCTCATTATTCATCGCAGTTATCCAAACATCGCCTTCAACAGTTGAAATCTTTCAATGAAGAACCTGCCGGTTCTATATTATCACTTCTCGTAGCCGTTTATTCTACTCTTTCAGTAGATGAATTTTCCCAATTGGGACTTCATATCTGGAACAAATTATTGAACGATAGGGAACACAAACCTTTTGCTTCAGCATCGTTTTTATTTATACAATGCAGTGAAAAATCTCCTGATACTATAAAGGAGTTGATAATGAAAGACCTTTATAGGTAATATAACAATAATACATTCTCGTTAGACACGTTTTTGTTTCGTTTGATATATACATTATTTTATATTGTTACTTTTAAATCTTAGCACAAATGCATTAATTCGTGCTATTACAATTCGTAAACTTTCGTCTTTATTTGGTCATCGAAATCAATTGTTGACTCAACCATATATACCTGAGCCTAATCGTAAACGTCCTTTTCGTGCGCAAGCCCCGGCTATCCCTTTTGTTCCTGCTGAATTAGGGAGTCAAGAAATGATGTATGAGCCATCTAGAGTACCGAAAATGACTACAGATGATCATTTGGCTGTTGATGTACGTAAAATAATTCTGGAGTTAAGCTGGGAGGAGGATGATAAAATTGATGAACATCTTAAACGCATAAAAACTCCCATATCTGCTTTACCAACATTTTATCTCGATGAGGAAGAATTTAAAGTTGAAGAGGAAATGTCATTCCAAAAGTCCCGTGAAAAGATGATGAGTTCACGTGTTAGTGGTAATACAGTTCAAAAAAATAACATTACAAATACAAGTAAACGGCGAGCAATATCGATTCCAATATTAAGTTCTTTCTCTTTAAGACTTGTAGACTTGTTGGATGATGCACATGGTGGCGTGTTTAATCTGACTAAAGAACTTATAATTTATTTCCTACGAGATGATCCGCATTTGTTTCTTCGAATATTTTTTAGCGATTTGGGTGCATCAGATTTTGATTCTCAAAAGGAACTGCTTTCAAGAATTCGATTTCTTGTTTCAATGCAGCATGTGCATCCTCCAAATTTTACATACATATTATTTAATCATCTTTCAGGAATGCTGAAATGGTATTCTCGTGAAAATAAAGACAATGGACTCAACGTTATGACGTATGTCATTCCAACTTTGGCAGAAATGGTTCCTGTTATTAACGATATGACTGTTCGAGATTTTCGCAAAAATAAAATAGAAAACTTTCTTTGTAATAATGGGCAGTTTTGGTTTACTGAAGGAACTCCAAAGTCAATGTTTCCTCGCAATATGACAGATGATAGAATTATCTTTGATATTCTGGCAGTACCGATTGATATTTTCCGGGTCGCTATACTTCGAGTTGGACAAATTCATTTAATGACTAACTTTGTAACAAAGTTCCCACGTGAAGTATATTCTGTCAAAAAGATGATTAGTGCATTTGAACCTACACCATATGATCATGAACAATTGCAAAATTTATCTAATGAGGAGGATCGTTTCATTCCAGATATGCAAAAAACAAATAGTAAGTTAAGTGCACTTAATAGTATTCTTACACGGAAAGGAAGGGATACCAAATTATTATCAGCTTTGCGTGCGAGAGCATGGTTGAACTTTTTGATAGAGGTTTTGAAGAGATTAAATACAAATCACAATGATCGAGATGAACTCAACAAATTTTTAAGTGGAGCAAACAATATTCTTTTAGAGCATACAAGTGATTATGGTATTGTTGGACAAACACTTGTCTTATATATTACCGTTGTCACTCGGTTTCGTAGATTATTTGATACAAACCGTGGATATTCCATATTTATTCCAACATTGTTTAAGGTATTTTGTGAGACAGAAAAAATTCAACCTATTCGGACAGCCATTGTAACTGCGTGGGGCATATTCTTCCGTGTTCACGGAGAATCGTTTATTTTTCAAGCACTTGGATGTTTAACTCCATTAATTTTAAAAGGTTCTGCGAAATTATCAAAATCTGGCGAATGGATGTGTTCTGCTCTTTATGAATTGTTCAAATCATTAAATACTCCCACGAATTTAACTGATTCACTTGGAATAAGTCATGCATTTGGTAACCTCAATACAACAGATCCCTTATTATTTAATCCAGTACAACTGTTAAATTCCACAATTAATTCTACGTTTAATTCCACATTCAATTCCACGTTTAATCCCGCGTTTAATCCTATGTCTAATTCTACGTTTAAAAGAGCTACTAATATTTATTCGGGTAAAACAATAGCTAGTTTATTGGGATTGGAAGAAGATCAAACATTTACATTGGATAATTTGGTTAGATTATTCATAACTATAATTGCTTATGATCCTGGATCTTTAAGAGCCGAGCAATTTGTTCATATTCTACAATATTTAATTCCACATTTTTTAAATGAATCTTCTTCGGTTAGAACATTGGTGGATGAAGGGATGACGGCTTTAACAGAGGTGTTTCTAAAATTTTCCAAATCGTCGAAACCGTTGATTACATCTACAGGAGTCTCCGGAAGTGGAACAATAAATCTAAGTCCAGATGAAGAAATTGATTCAAATGATGCTTTTGATGGCGTTCAATTTGTTACTGAAGCAACGACACATGCTTTTGGAAAGAATTGGCAACAAAATGATCATATGACGATCAAAAAACAATTCTTAATATTGGTGCAAATTTATCGACAACATGATGGGATGCTTTCAGATAATTGTCATAATAAAATAGCCCAAATCATTCGTATGATAATCAAGGATTACGCAACTATCAAAATGCGTGTTTCTACTAATTTTCTTAAAAATTATATTAAAAATTCTTTGCTATATAATACCACATTTGAAGATGGTCGAAAGCCCATAATGGCGTTATTACGACAGGTTTCCTATGCATTCCGTCACTATTACAAGCACGTTGATTTTTCGGGGTTCATCGATGGGCTGGCCTTAATTATAAATGACAAGGCAGAATTTGCAATTAACGATTCCGCAATGGCGGTTTTGATAAAAGAAAAATTTGTATCATTGGGGCTACTTATGGTTTTGAAACCTGACTGGGAAGATGCTGCAGAGACTATGCAACTTCGTTTATGTAATAGTTTAGTAAATTTATTTGTTGCTATGATGACTTATTCGACGCAAGATATGTTATCAGAGCTTGATAAATATCCTCCTTCACATACATTGATGGCATACATAATCATTCCCGTATGCTTACAATACAAAGAGGCTGCAATCTTTACACCGCTTCCAGTGAATTTTAATCCACATGAAACAAATGCAAGAACTGTTTGGTGTCGTCTTTTAGATTATATAACAAAAGCATATTATAAAAATAAAGAAATATATGAAAACGAAGAAGAAAATCAAAACAAACCAACCTCCATGATGGAGACCACAGTTCCCTTTCTATTGGGCTTTACAGCATTGAAAATTTTAATGGTTCGTGCAAATAAATATATTACTCAATCAAAAGGCATGTGGGTTTATATTGCACAGTTTGTAAGACAAATTTTAGCAACAGCTAGTGCACCTCAATCTGGACAATGGTCTGGTGCGTCATCTCCTGGAGCTAGCAATACTAGTGTTAACATTGCTGTGAGTCCCTTAGAAAATTATTTTGTATCCACACCAGGCGATAAATCAAATAATTTGAATCAGAACGCGAAATCTCCTTCCTCATCTGCAACAGATTTTGCATTATGGACATTTATCGAATTGATTTTATCACATAAACTACCAATTAACTTGTATTTGCGAACATTTATACATCAAAAACTTCAATATTCTACTGTCGTAAGACCTCAAACACCTAATAGTCCTATTATTACAGTAAATAATCGTGAATCAAAATGGAGAAGTTGGGGTGGTCCACCTGTTGGATTTCAACAAGTGTTATCTAGGTCTTTGGAAAAAGACTCGAACATTCAAGGGTCCAATAAAGATGTGGTTGAGTTGTCAGAAGGCGGTATTCTTTCTTCAAATTATGATCCACCAAATGATCTTAATATTATTCCACAATTTAATGCATCCGTTGTGCAAACTATCTATAGTTCGCACCATAATAGTAGTATACAAAATTTGATCAGCGAAACATTAAATTCATATTTAAATGTTCGTAATTTGATGGGATACGGTAACGATAATTCTGAATTAAGGGCTTGGAGCTATAAGCAAGTTTTAGAGAAATTAAAAGAAGAAAAGAAATTAATATTGGCAGTTTATAAAGAATCATTTAAAGTTTCTGGATCTGATGGAGTTACAAATCAAGGAACTGATATTTAATTATTATTCATGTAATTAATCCTAGTTTTTTTTTTTATTTATTTATTTTTTTTTAATTGTAACTATAATATTTGTCTTTTTCTTATATATATTATATTTTTATAGCGAATATAATACTATTTAAAAATGGGATGCGTAAACATAATCAAAAATATAAGATTAGGTGCAATAAATTATCGATTTTTTAAGAAACAAATAACAGGTAATATTAGATAAATATATATTTTTATCATTAAAAAATAGTCGCTTTTTTTTTTTTTGATATTATACCGGTTAATTGTACAGATTTGTAAATTGAATATCTAGCAGCCAAATTTAATCATTTTTAACCATTTGATATTTAGATTCATACTATTTAAAATGTTAGTAAAATAAAATATAAAATTTATATATATTAAAACTATTAATTTTAATTATATATATATATTATAAAATACTGTACTATATTAATAATAAAATTTATTTATTAACAAACTATTAATTTTAATTATATATATATATTATTATTATAAAATACTGTACTATATTAATAATAAAATTTATTTATTAATAAACGAGTTTTATAAAAATTATTTAAGATTATATATATATTTAAAATTATATATATATATATACACTACAGTATATGTTATTAATTTGTTAAATGAGATTATTGCTAATATTAACGAGGTGAACTTCACCCAGAAACGGTGATTTTCTGTAATTTACAGAAAATAGCAGAATTTCTTTTAAATATGTACGTATACAAACATATGAATCATTCTTAATCAACACAGAATATTACAGAATTTTAGCAAAAGAGCCGGGTATATCGATTTAGAATTTCATGATAAGCAGCTTATTAGATTAGGAATCAGTAAATTTATACTTACGCATCATGTTTAAACAAATAACCATATACAGTCCACTCCCGCAATAGTTACACACGAAATAGTCAATTTTTTGAGACTATAAGGGGTCTTTGCCTTGTTACGGGACTATGTAGATTTTATGAATAAAAATTAAAATTTCTAGCCATCTAATAATCCAAATAATTTTTTTTTTTTTTATTTCGTAGAACTCACTAGGCTCTACAAAATAAAAAAAAAAGTTTATTTGAATTGGATTACTGGATAGTTAAAAATTTTAATTTTTATTCATAAAATCTACATAGTCCCGTAAGGTCATTTTCAAGGCAAAGACCCCATATACCAATCATTTACAGTATATAATATAAAATTAACTCTCGCTATAACACATAACGTGATTATTATTATGTTTCTCTCGCTATAGTCACATCAAGTTTCTGCCAGAAAGTGTGACTATAGCGGGAGTAGACCGTATTTTTAAAGATTTAAATATATAAAGTAACGGGAGGTATAATGGCGCAGGGGGGTAATTTGGCGCACCGAAAATAACTCAAGAAAACAGGATTTTTTACTAAGCAAACCTAACTTCATCCACTAAATAAAGTTATTGAAAATACCGTTTTCTAGATATGTTCAAATTTTGATGCGATTTGGCTAATTTTTTATTAATCGCTTTTCACGTTATACATTCTGGAGCAGAAAGTTTGCTTTTTGTACCAAATGTATAATGTGGAAATCGATTAATGAAAAATTAGCCAAATCACATAAAAATTTGAAAGTATATAGAAAATGGCATTTTCAACAACTTTATTTAGTAGATGAAGTTCGACTTGCTTAGTAAAAAATCCTGTTTGGTTAAAATAATTCTTTGATAAAGAAAATTGATCTACATTACCCGTACGATTCACTTAGGGATGTTAAAAGTCCGGTCCGGTCCGGTCCGACTCCATGAGTCGAGTTTTAATCTAGACTCGGTCCCGAGTCAG